TAGGGTAGGGTAGGGTAGGGTAGGGGTAGGGGTAGGGTAGGGTAGGGTAGGGTAGGGCAGGACAGGGCAGGGCAGGGTAGGGTAGGGTAGGGGTAGGGTAGTGTAAGGTAGGGTATGGTAGGGTAGGGTAGGGTAGGATAGGGTAGGGTAGTGTAAGGGTAGGGTAGGGTAGTGTAAGGGTAGGGTAGGGTTGAATTGAGTAACATCCTAACTTACAAAGGGCTCGAACAACTCGCATGCATCACCATCATGCTTTACAGTTCAATCAAAAGCAGTTACCCAGTTCTACACAAATAATACCAATAAAAATGCAAGTTTCTACACCCAAACTAATGCATCCGTTAATCATACGTATCAAAACATACAGTTATCGCGTAAACCTGTATTCCAGTTATCACTAATAGATAATTAATTAATCTGCAATCGCAGATTGCAGGCAAAAGTAAATCAAATATGTTCAGGTTAAGTGATTATGCATTAGATACATAACCACTTAACCTGAACCCTCGCCGGCACTGGCCATTTAACGTCCTTCGACTGCACAAGGAGGGTTGGTACGATCCCCACTTCCCCCCTCGCGTTTGGCCCCTGATCGAGCTAGAGCTTCGCGGAAACACGAGCGTGCTACCCGTCACGAGACGAAGCCGATGATACCCCATTTTAAGGTCCTAGGTCATCGTTTGATCTTCCAGGTCAACCGATTCCAGTCAATGACCCAAAAGTCGGGAAAATCGGGACCTGTTAAAAAGTCGTGAAGTGTGCCTGCTGTGGGGTTTTTCGGGGTGCTAACCACGAACATCGTGTCAGTTTTTATCACAGATGATGTCTTGAAGCATTTAGACCAGGTCGGGTTGGGGCAGGTCGTAGGGGTTGTGACGAGGATTCGTAGTACGTGTCAACCGCCTCTGACAGCTTCATAACATGTTACGAAATTACCGAAACTGCTTCGTAAATGTTCAAATGGTTGCTAAATTCGAATCCAGCTCCAAAAACTGGCCTAGAAACATGTAGAACTCGAAAAAGTGAACCGAGTTCACCAAAGGTCATTGATCTGACCTGACCTTCAGGTGACCTTGACATCCACCCTTATGCATGGGAACAACATCAAATCACATGTTTGAACGTTTGAAACCACGAAAAGATTGTAATAATGCGCGGCTAATGCGAGCCGACATACGCCGAATCGCGATTCCGGCCAAACATGGTCTCAGAAAGAAGGTCACAGGTCAAAGGTCATTTGGGTCAGGGTCATGATATTTTCAAGGTAGGTGTAAAATTGACCAATGCGGGAGTACGGAAAGTTTCGTCGCGATCGGCCGCTTTTTACGAGGGTTATTTGCGATAATTCTTAGGAGGGATTGCATCAACATGCAATCGTCAACTATCGAAACCGTGGTTTCAAACGCCGGCGAGGTTTTGGATTTAGTTTCGCCCGTAACCTCTCCTAAGACATTGCCTACGGCACTGCACTGCTTCGCCACGAGAAACATGGTGATGTCATTATTCATAGTTGAATGGCATTTGTTGGACAGCATCCTTGAAATATTCGTGCGTTTTGTTTTTCCCCCACCCCAAAAATAAAAAACAAAACTAATATCAATCAATCATACACACAAAGGCAAAACAAAATTGGCCGGGCTCGGGCTGCCTGCGGACAGCCACGGCGACGAGCTGTAATCCGTTGCATCCGTCGACCGCGATAGTCGACGGTTTCATGCTCACGTGGCCCGACTAGACGAGCCGTTTGACGCGCTGGGGCGCGGCAGTGAGCCGGAACATCCGGGAGCTCTGGTCGCGCCTGGTGCAGCCCTGCGGGCCCGAGGCTAGATGCTCGGCGCTGGCCGTAGGACAGTTCCGCGCGACGACGACCTGTCAGTCCCGCCCCTCACCCCTTACCCCACCCCCCGCGGTGCCAGTGGCAGGCAGACAGACACACAGACCGCAGACCGGGGACGGTGTGAGCGCCCTTGGCTCAGGCAGGGGCGTTTTCAGCAGCAAAAAGATGGACATTCTCAACAACAGAAATGCGGTGCAGATCATTCAATGAGTGTCGGTTGCCTTATTCGTAATTTTAATCTCACCAGCTTCGGAGTCTCACAGTCAATATGATTCGCCGAATTTGCCGATGGTACCTTGTTGATTTGGTGAGTTGGGTGAGAGGAAAATTGAGAATAAGACAGCTGACATTCCAATTAGCAGATGGGCCGAGTGATTTTTCAATCAACCCAATCAAAAACAGTTTGTTTCGGAACTAAGCTTCATCGATCACCGTGAATGGCATTTGCCGAATTTGCCTATGATACATGAACGTGTTTGGTTTTTGGTCTCTAGCTTTGCCATAATTTGTTCGACCCCTAAGATGAAATAATGAGCGTGTAGGAAACTCTATTATGTACGGAACCCGCGTCAGTCAGAGTTGTTGGATTACTTCCCTAATCTCCAAAAATCGGTCAAAGTTGACAGGGTAACGAAGCCTTTTAATGTACGCATGTGGCAGGTCACCAATAATCACAATGATGACTTGAGCGGTGAGACCTGGTTGAATTGGTGAGTTGGGCGAGAGGAAAATTGAGAATAAGGCAGCTGACATTCCTATTAGCAGATGCGCTGAGGGATTCTTCAGTCAAACTATTCATACACAGTTTGTTTCGGAACTGAAACTTGCCGATCACCGCCAATGGGCTTTGCCGACTTTGCCGACTTTGCCGAACGTGTTTGGTTTTTGGTCTCTAACTTTGCCATAATTTGTTCCGCCCCTAATATGAAATAATGAGCGTGTAGGACACTCAATTATGTACGGAACCCGCGTCAGTCAGTGTTGCTAGATTACTTCCCTAATCTCCAAAAATCGGTCAAAGTTGACAGAGTAACGAACCTTTTAACACGCGTAGTGGAAGGGGGGGGGCGGATTTCGCCCACCCCTCCTGTTTTCGCTAAAAACTCGCGCCGCAAACCTAATATTGATGTGAAATTTCAGCTACCTGTGCAGAATTGAATTGCAGATCTTCTCGTGCAAGAAATAAGAAAATCGGCTCACAACTTTTCTACTAATAGCGGTGTAAAGTCAAACAACCGGCCACTGCCAGCCGTTGCGCGCGCGCCGCCCGCCTGAATTGTAGACTGTGCCGGGGCGGGATGGTCCCGTCTTTACATCGCGCTCGTTACCGCTGATTACATTGGATTCGCTTAAGATTTTGTGTGAAGACTAAGAAATGTACAAGCAATCTTCTGGTCCATAAATTTTGAAAATCGACAGATAAAAATTTGAATTATGAGTGTGTAAACACAAAATTGTGATTGCCGCGTTTCCCGCGTCGGCCGCCGATCCCGCTCCAGCCGGCGACATCTTACCCTTAGCAGGCAACTAACTGCCATATTTATTGTTGGATTAACTAGAAATTCACCATACATAATCACAATCAGTCTGTCTGAGCTATCAGTCTGTCAATCCTTACGGTGTCCGGGAGTTGTCCCGTGTTGAGTCAAATTAAGCCGCAACTGAGCATCCTTCATAATCCGTGATCCCGGTATGGCGGGAAACCTTAGCCAATCGGAGTGCCCAGATGGGTTGTCATGCCAACGGTTGCTTGGCAACGACTCAGAGTAGGGAGTCGGGGCTCCGGAGAGCTTGAGACAGCTTAGGACAGAGTGATGGGATGTCTTCTCGTAACGGCCAAACACCCCCCATTTCCGCTTATGTCTACACCACGGGCCACCACAGGCGGAGCAGCGCCGCACACAATGCAGCGAGCCGAGAGGCCGTGGCGACCTCTGCAGTCCATATCGCCAACCACTAGCCAGACATCTGGCTGGGCTGAATGGCTCCACGGACGGTGGTGACCTCTGCAGTCCATATTGCCAACCACCCGTCCGACAGGGCGTGGGCCGCCGGGAGACGTATATACAGGGATCTCTGGGCTCGGAGAGGACGCCTTCATATGGACGCAGTGCTTCTCACTCCGAGTCCACGATCAACTTCCTGCGATCTTCTGCCATACGATCTTCTGCTCAGACTGCTTTACGATCTTTTGTCCGGTTACCGTTAAATGGAGAACCTACGCTCACCTAAAACGTCCTGCCACCTAGCAGATATACTGAGAACTAGTATCTACCCAGAGGGAGTGATGATTAAATCAACAGCCTACCAAGTAGGTTAGTTAGGTGCTGCCAAGGCCGTATATAGGAGGTAACAGCATTTCGCGTTTGTTTACTTTTGCTCAGCTGACGAAAATGACGTCACTGACTTTCTGAAGCTCGAGGCCGTCATTCGGCTATTGCGTAAGAGCATCTTCAAAAACTTCAAAACATCGGGGAAAATACGTCGATTTCATCGATTTTTTCGTTCAATGATACTTAAGAGCGACTTGTGAACACATGTTATTCGTTTAAAATTTCGAAACTGTCTTATACATACTCCCGACAATCACAATCATGCAAGGTAATGCACTATGAAAATCCACGGCAGAGCTGGGCTAATGTCGGTCGGCAGGGAGCCAGGGATCGTTATCCGCGTATGTTTGTCCAGGTTGTCTAGGTCCGGCCGAGAGGCTATGCAGCGCCGCGGAGACGTTCAGACGGTTGTTGTTCCTGCTGCGTGGCAGCGGCGTGCCTCCCTCGGACCTGATCTACGAGCCGTGCGCCGAGCCCGGGGACGATCCGACCGACAGCGCGAGAGCGAGTGCGGCGTGGCGGCCATGGTCAGCTCGCCGGCGTCGGGCGCCCACCACTCGGTGGGCTCGGTGCGCCGCACACGCCACACCGTGTGCATCTGCATACTCCTCTGCTGGTCATAGGCGACGCACAGCGCCGGCCGCCGGCACACGCACACCACCCACACCGGCTGTTCGTGGCCAGAGACGGCTCACAGCTGCCTATCCTGATGATGTGCGGCGCGACGTCGTCTGGTGGGTGGAACAGGGAAAACAGCGTCGGCAGATTGTCCTCTGTGACATGTCCCAGGGGTAGGAACCTTAGTGGATAGTCACCAGATGTCTCTGAGGGAGCACAGCAGTCACCATACGGTGATCTATTAGACTGTCAGTGTCCTCAAGAATTCAAGATCACCAAACGGCCAGTTTGGCCAATCACAACACCGTGCCGAAAAGTGACGCCGATGGATGAAGTACCCTACCACAGTACCCTCTAGATCACAGGCATCAGAATACTAGGATTGAAGTACAACATCGGTCAGCCGCGCCCGCCTCGGGCATCATTCGTGATGACGTCCACATCAGGCCGCGGAAAACATCACGGACGGTCATAGCACATTACAAATAGTAAGTAGAACTAGGAACTGCTTCAACAGAACGAAACTCAATCAACATCAAAAGCATTTCACAGCTTTCAGTATCACAAACCGTAGTGTGAAACAGTTCACCGTGTTCACAGCAGAGACAACATCTGTAAGAAACTACTCATCTCTAATAACAATCTCTATGTAATGTCCACCTGGCTGGACACACGAGTCACATCCGAACCTCCCAAGCTCATCACCTGACCAGATGAGAAACCCTCTCCAGACACACCGTCCCGTCCCTTCTGAACCGGTTCCCGGCCCTGGCGACATCAGGGCCGGCCCGACCCGTTCCCTGTACTATCTGGCTCTGGCAATGGCACTGAGCGTCCAGTAGGTTGAACATTAGAATGTCAGGGTGTCACCACCATCGCCCCTTCCCTCTGCGACTCACTGCCACTCCCCCTCCTCCCCAGTTCACTAGACCCGCCGCGGGTTAGCCGCCCTGTGGCGTGGCACCGGCAGGGGCGGACTCAGCCGAACTCGTCCAGTAGATCTCCCGCCCGTGTGCCGTCCGTCCGGTGGAGAGGCCGACAGGACCGGGCATCTCTCTCGGTAGTCGCCTGCCCAGCTACCCGGTCGGCACCGCTGACTGAACCTCCAGCGCCGCCTCCACCGCTACTGTGTACACCCTCCTTCCGCAACGATGGAGACAGGTACACCAGCTGGACCACCGACTCCCGCGCACAGTCCAGCAGCGAGGTCTGTCCAGCCCCGTCTGTCGGCGGTTCACTGAACCTCCAGAGACGGCCGCACTTGAGTCCATGCCCTCGCTGATCCGAGAAACATCTAGGTGAGCAGAGTCATCAGCTGAGTGACTGTCACTAGAGGTCCTGCCACCGTTACACTTACGACCCCCCACCGGAGCCAGTACCAGATGTCGAACTAGGTAGGCTGTTGAAGCAGCGCACGGCCGCGGCTGACTCCGATATCACTCGGCTGGAACTCTCGTCCTCGGCGTGCCGCTGCTCGGCACGGCGGGGCGAGACAGCGACCGCAGCAACCACCCCACCGTCTCAGAGTCACTCACCCCGACCGGCTCCGAGTCACGCGACTCAATCATTCAACACTCGCCCATCACCCGTCTCACTCGCCCATCACCCGTCGAGAATCACCCGTCGCGCCACTACACCGGCCGCACACACGAGGAGCGCACCGACCGGCCCCATCCGGCCAATGTCAGCCGGCCAACTGGCGGGGTCACAAGTTGGCAGGCGGCCAGGCGCCGCCGCTCTGTCCAAACAGAAGTATGCACATTGCACATCCTATAATGTCCGAAGGCAACGTGCCGACCGACGGCCTCGTCTGCGTAGGAGGTGAGCGCACCGACTACCGCTTGCTCTTCGCGTGTTGGGCTAGCTTCCTCAGCTGGTACTTTTCCGCTTCAGCTGCTGCTCGAGCGGTGTTGAGCCAGCGGAGTCGCAGGTGCAGCCGCGTGCTTGCCAGCTTCCTGGCGATTCGCTCGTCCAGCCCTGGAGCTCGGGCGAGCACGCAGTCTGTCAGGCGCTTCACGATGCCAGGCGTCTTGACCGCGGTCGGCCCCATCACGTCACTGAACGTGTCGTTGAAATCTTCCACCACGCCCATCCACCACTGGCTGGGGACGTAGAGGCTGCCGCGGCTGATTGTCTCCAGCCAGCGGCTCGGTACGGACGCTGGCGCCAGAGAAGACGAGGTCGGTTGGCCGAGGTCGCCGCGGATCTGCCGGCATTTGAATGCCACATAGCCGGCCACGAACGCGAGCGCCTCGCGGTTGACGCCGAGTTCAGCGGTCCGCGGTCGAGTATTGGATGGCCCGGCCTCTTCTGTGTCCGGACTGTTGTCCTCGTGAGCAGGAGGGGCGGGTGGCAGAGGCGGCTGGCCCATCGCCGACTGGTAGGCGGCCTCCCATTGCTCGTGCTGCTCGGCAGCCTCCTCGTCTGCTGGATCGCGAAGCTGAAACGAGACAATGCATCAATTACGATTGATTCAGAGTATATGGCCGATCTGGTTTCTCACTACCGTGATGACGAGTTTCTTACGTATCGCTGGGTAGGAGACAAACATTGTTTATTGTTTATTCACTGTATCGCCGACAGACATAATCCACTTAGAGGCGAAGTCAGTAGTTAAAACACTGTAGCTCACGCTAAAATAAATACTACATCAGAGCTCGATGATATAAGTGTGTGTAAACATGCAAGCATATCTAAAAATAACAGTACTTATAAGAGTAAAGGTGAAATTTAACTTTAAATTTAATGGTGAAATTTAAAGGTGAAACCGATTATATTAATATGTTCACGAGTCTGAAATAAGGATTTAAATTTGATGAAACATAGGACATAGGTAGTATTACCTGCTGTCGCTGCCACTGATCTCCATCTGTCCAGGCCCTTGTTCAAGAAGCTGTTTCACCACCACCCTCTCCTTCCTCTGCTCGAGTCGGCCTCCCCTGGTGTCATCTCCTGGCCTAAACAAACAGAGATAGAACATCTATTTTAGATTACAATAAAAATGAAACACCTTTAGCCTGACAGCAAAATGTGGCAGATTTAAACAAGATCTGAATAATGCAGACATCAGAACAGGGCAGGTTTCAGAATTCAGGGATGTCAGGGCAAAAGGGAGAAGATCTGAGGCAGAAAAATGGGAAAAGAAGTAGGAAGCTTGAGTATCTCTGCAGGGTCCGGGCAGAGGAGATCAGTGCACATTGGGTGCGATTTTGTGCTTTCAGCCCAGAACAGTGTCAAGCTCCCTGCCATATTTGCAGACTGATCCCTCAGTACAGATGAACCACAAAAACTGGGCCCTGTTCTTGAGCACCCATGAGGTAGCTACCTACTGTGAAAGTTGAAACTTACAAAATTGTGAAATTGACGGTGAACCAGGAATGATGTCAAGGAAATTAAGAAAGTGGGAGGGGCATGTGATATGATATCAACAGGCTGTAATGAGCCTATGTGCCTCAGTGGTGGAAACAATCCCAACTGCAGGCACGGCATGCATCTTATTCTAACGACAAAAGAACACAAAGAAAAAAACCTGACGTACAACCATATTCATAAAAGCTAATACTCAAACTACCTTATCATGGGCAACATGAGTTTTAACATTTAATAAAAACACACCTTGACAGTGATGAGGCTGAGGGTAGGTTCCTTGAAGGGATGGCATCTGGTTTCAGTGAAGGCTTCACATTTGGCATCAGAGTTCTCTTGACTAGATATGATGGATCATAGTCAGTCTCATTCGCGATTCGCGAAGGAGCGAATCAAACAGTACCGTGACAGCCGGTACTGAACTGATACCGCACAGCTTATCACATCTAGAATTTTTCCTCCCCCAACTCCAAGCAGACGCACTACCCCAATCCCCTGCGGTCCATCTCTCAGCGCCCAGCGTAACCAGGGGAATTGGCGCGTCTCTTTCCTACACGGTTTCCTGCCTCTCCTCATGCACTGGTGAGTCAAGGAAACCCAACAGGTGAGTTGAACAGGTGAGTCAACAAAGTGTTCAGAGCACACAACAGCGTTTTTTTTTACATTGAATTGATCTTGGCGGTAACACCTATGCACCCACGCAGCCTGGACTTCGGGATTCTTTGGAAATCTAAAAAATGAGGCTTCAGTTTTCTTGTTCGACCAACCTCCACTCCAGACCTTACATGTAGCTACAGCACAGGCTGGCGTCTTGATTCAGTTATCTAAAATAAAATCTTACATTTTAAAGCATCACAATCTCAAAACAACATCAATCATTGAAATGACAACATGCATATTTCTGCAGAAAAATTCAAATCGGTTCATGTCACACACGCGCCATATACGCAGAAGACTTGTTAAGCTGCCTTAAACAGCTGCAAAATAACTCACTTTGTGCTTAAGTTACTGCTACGCTTTATCGCAGAAACCAAGTAAAACAATACACTAGTATCTTTAGACAATGTGAAAAACGCACAATTCAATCGATTTGGACCAAAAACTGCGAAATTTATTTACCAAAGCCCTCAGAAAACGGGAAAGAAGCGGAAACGCAGTGACGTCATATGGGCCGGAGTGCACCGCCGGAGCCTTCCCTATGGCTCAACATAAAGTCGGAAGCCACCTAGCGGACATACTGAGAATTAGTGCTCATCCAGAGGGAGCAGCGAATACATCGACCACTTTATAACGCCAAGGAGGTGCTGCCACCTACCGGCGGTACTCCAAACTAGTGGTTGACCAGAGGGAGCGGTGGTTTGCTTCAATGTTGGTTGATACGATTTTAGGACTAAAGTACGTATCGCTAAAGTACGTAGGACAAAAGTACGTATGCAAATGTTCGTACGCAAATATACGTAGGCGATAAAGTTCGTATGCCAAAAGTACGTACGCAAATGTTCGTACGCAAAAGTACGTATGCAAAAGTACGTTGTGCATAAAGTACGTATGTCAAAAGTACGTACGCAAATGTTCGTACGCAAAAGTACGTATGAAAAAGTACGTAGTGCATAAAGTACGTATGCCAAAAGTACGTACGCAAATGTTCGTACGCAAAAGTTCGTATGCAAAAGTACGTAGTGTAAAAAGTACGTATGCCAAAAGTACGTACGGTTCGTATGCCAAAGTACGTAGTGTATAAAGTACGTAAGCTAGAAGTAGGGTATAGTAGTGTAAGTTGAGCCACTTTTTCTTTATTGCTGCTCTGTTGCCATACTACAGGGATCTCATGATAAATTCATATACCAAATAATATAGCTTCGTCCGTTTCGCCCATTTACTCATCGAAAAATTTTGTTATGCCTTGTAACAAATGCTCATTAAATAAAGAATAAGAAACTAGGTATTACACATTGATCAACTTAACCCAAAGGTGGGGTACGTACTTAATACCCTACGTACATTTGCTATACGTACTTTTGTCCGTGACGTACTTTTGTCCACACGTAGGGTAGACCGGGGCAAGTCGCCCCGCCGAGGTAAAACGCCTCACCGATGTTTCTCGGAACTGACAGGGTTCTGGGGAAACGTTACGGTCCAAGCTCCATAGTGAGGCGGACATACGAATCTACGAGAGTTTGGCGACGAAATGTTACACCAAATTGTTAAGTAATGGGTACCATTAGGTAGGCCATACAATTTTCTCTAGCATCGCACCGTAGATGCAGTAAAAAGTGTTATACTTTTCAATGTCTATACCAAAGAAACATGCTATGTCATCACCGTTGACGCGACATATTTCTGCTTTATTGGGGTTGGCGGTGTAGTCTGTGATGCCATCGCAATGAAAATAGCCTAGTTTTGTAGAGCATCAAATTCTGATTCCATAACGGCTCTCGCTAGTCCATTTTCAATTATAAATTAGCCTTTTATTGCGCTGCAAAGTCAAAAAGAAGCCCGAAATGGTGCCGACGGCGGCCGTTAACACAGTCCCCTATGGTAAACAGGTTAGTTCACATTCCGGCCGCTATGCGAGCGGCTGCGGCGCCACCTGTCCTCATGTCCGCCTTGGACCGTAACGAGATCCTCTCTTCTGTTAACCCGGCCGGGCCCGGGAGGTAATTCCAACCACCGGAGCCCGGGGAGGGGCGTTTTTCGCCCCCCCCCCCCTGTCTAACTCCGTAAATAAGGGAGCTACGCAAACAAAAGAGATACCAAACGAAAGGTCCTTACGAGTCGATTCTAAAGCACCCAAAATTTTTGACCTCAGGTCAATTTTCAAGGTCAGAGGTCAAGGTCAAAGGCAAAAACCGGCACATGTGTAGTGATCTCAAAGTGAGCGTTCTAGAGGACGGCAGGATGCATAAAACCGGCAAAATTGGGTGTCAAACGAAAGAAGAGAATCATCTGAGAATTCCGAAAATGTGCTCGGCATCAAAGGTCAAGGTCAAGGTCATGCTCAAAATTTACCTCAAACTTAGCACTTTTTCGTACCTACATCTTGCGTGTCAACTTCCAAGATGTTTTGAAATGTTTTGAGGCTTATCAGGTCCCTATTTGTGGTTCATCTTACGATACAAGGCTGCTCAAATGTCAAGGTCACAGAAGAGAGTCCTTGCTAGAGGCTATTTCACTGATTCAAGTTAGTAATAATAAATAAGACAATTTTGCCATCCGGAGGCTCTAAATAAAGGCTAAGAGGAAAATAGATGCCAGATTCGTGATCAGCGGGTAGGAATCCATCATAAACGACTTTTGGTGTGTCAAGGTCAACCAAAGGTCATTCGAGGTCACATGAGGTCAACATAAAACTTGTCCTTTTCCAAACAAAATATATATCATTCGACGCGGCTTGACAAGGCAAATGCGATGGTACCACTGCCGTAACTCTAGGACCATTTTTGTCGAAGTTATTTGCGAAAAACTAAAACCACAGCTCGGGGTCGTTGACCTGACCTCTGACCTCAGGTCACTAAAACTATTTTTGTATTTTTCTCTAGGTCAAACGCTACACAACCGTGCTCGTAATTTGTCTTTATCTCTAAAACTCTATTTTTAGCAGCTATTTGAAGTTCGCGTCTGTGACACCGAAGTTTGCCGTGCAGGTGCAGGGGTCTAGAAAAATCGACTTTGTGACGTCATCAATGGGGCTAGGTCCAAATTTTTTACTTCAAAAGATGTCAAATTGATGGGAGAAAGGGTACTGAAAGTTTCGCTTTCCTATCCCTATAAACGTCCGGGAGCTATCGCAAATATTCGCCAGGGGGGAGGGGCGAAAAACGCCCCCCGGGCCCGCGAGGGTTAATCTAGTGTATGGGGCTTCTTGCCTCAGGCCGTGGGGCGTTTTGCCCTGGGGTTGGGGCAAAATGCCCCATTTGCAGTTGCTTCACAAAGCACTTCCTAGCTGGGAGTCCGATCATAAGTGAATGAATTTGAGGGGTGGAATTTAAAGTAAAATGTCCAAAGAAACATTGAGCACAAATTTGGCCTTCCAGGTGGTGTGAGACAAAAGTAGGTACCTATGTAGCAGAATAAATTATCTGGGGCGTCTTGCCCAAGGCTACCCTACTTTATACTCTACGTACATTTGCTATACGTAGGCTTTTGTACGTGACGTACTTTTTTTGTCCATACGTACTTTATAACCTACGTACTTCTGCGATACGTACTTTTGTCCGTGACGTACTTTTGTCCATACGTACCTTTTACCCAACGTACATTAGCTATGCGTACTTTTATCCGTGACGTTCTTTTGTCCATACGTACTTTATACCTACCCTACGTACTTCTGCGATACGTACTTTTGTCCCTGACGTACTTTTGTCCATACGTAGTTTATATAGTACGTACTTCTGCGATACGTACTTTTGTCCCTGACGTACTTTTGTCCATACGTACTTTATACTGTACGTACTTCTGCGATACTCGTACTTTTGTCCTTGGCGTACTTTTGTCCATACGTACTTTATATTGTACGTACTTCTGCGATACGTACTTTTGTCCCTGACGTACTTTTGTCCATACGTACTTTATACTGTACGTACTTCTGCGATACGTACTTTAATCCTACGTACTTTTGCTTACGTACTTTTGTCCTAGGTACTTAAGCGATACGTACTTTTGTCCGTAACCCGGTTGATACAGGGCCGCCCGGAGAGTGCCCTGCCACCTACCGGCGGTACTCCGAACCAGTGGTTGACCAGAGGGAGCGGTGGTTTGCTTCAATGTTGATACAGGACCGCCCGGAGAGTGCCGACTCCTTATGAATATATATATATATATATATATATATATATATATATATATATATATATATATATATATATATATACATATATATATATATATATGCATTGTTTGTTGAAAGCGACAGCGAGCTGGGCGTTGACGATCTTCTTTTCTGTCGATTCGATCTTTCGCACTAGCTTCTTTCCGGGTTCGTTATATTCGTTAAGTAGTTCGGCGAATGTCATTGTAAGTAAAAATATAAAGCAACTGGTTGTAAGGTTCATATTTTCAACGTTTCATTGTAAATCAAACAACATTTTCAAGATCAGAACCTTGACTGTGTTAACAGTTGCATATCACGTCACTAGTGTACTCGAATATATAAAACAAACACGTGCATTGGTACGCTGGAGCATCTCTCCTTACATTTCTACGATCATATATACATCATTACATCATGGAAATATAGACATGTGACACCTACTCCTGTGTGGTAACATACCACATATCACCAGTGGTGCAACATCACACAGTTAAAGCGAGACGTGCACCCAGCGGTGCTCCACCGTACAGGGACAATGTTCCGCGTGCATTGACCTGCTTGTTGATGAGAGGGTCTAAGTCTCGAATGTATACCGCCTCGAGTGCTGTAAGATACCGTCCAGTGGCCCCATGTGCTAGTATTGTCGTGTTGGAGGTCAGCATATGTCTCGTCAGTCGTTGATGATGATGTTTTTCCATGTGTGTGAGTGGTCCACCGCTTTGTAGATGCATGGTCAGTCTACGTGAGAGTGAGGTCGTCGTCATGCCGATATAACCACTGTTGGGTAGAAGTGCACAGTCTTCTGTCATGCATTTAAAGTGGTATATCACGTTGGTCTGTTTGAGTGGTGAATTGTCTTTTGTCATGTTGTTACGTAATAGCAGGGATGATGTTTTTGGACTCTGATAGTATATGTTGAGCCGTACTTGGTGTGAGGGGTCTTGTACCTTACAATTGCGTTGTACTATGCTGTGGAGTACCTTTTCGTCCGTTCGGTATCCTGGTGACATGGTGTTACGGTAGTAAAGGTTGTGAACTGTCTCAGGCTTTGATGGTGCGGTTCCTGGTTGTGCGTGTCGATTCAGGGCCTCGTGAACCTGTTTGTCAATCATCTCTG